ACGAATAATTATATTGTTGATCCTCGCTGGCATGTCATTTAGATAAATATATATCGTACATTAAATGTTGTACTATTTACTGTATAAACTGCTGACAATTTCGTCGTCGATACGGCTTCCACTATTGGCACACTCGTGATTTCGAAGAAATTAATAAATAGATGCTCATTTATCATTTATTTAGACCACAGTTAGTAAAATTTTAGACGTATTCGGTATTCCAAATCCCAATCTATCTGACCGTATTTTAGTATTAGGCCACATAAAAAAAAATAGTTGGTTAGCGTCCCCGCCCGCCCAAAGGATTTTTTTTCCATTTTTTATTTAAAAAAACCCCGACTTTTATTGATCAACGGGCTCTAATATATGTAGTATTTCTGTTGACTGTAGTCAATTGTGTTAATAATTTGCGAAATTGCGTGCGAAAATGACGGTATGAATTATATTTTGAAATATATAAAAAAATATCTGTACTGCGCAAGAAAATCCAGTTTCGGACCTAACAGTGAGTAAAACCAAGGCGTTAAAAATTAGTTGAAAATTAAAAAAAAAAGCGCCCGCCCGCCCACTTTTTGGCAAAAGCTAAGGACGCTAACCAACTATTTTTTCTATATGGCTTAATAGCTTCAAATATTCAGAACATTGTTCTTTCAGTCGCACATAGTACAAGTATTACGGTACATTCAAAGCCAATGGTAGTATTTTATTCGGCTTTATATTTGTATGTGTATTGATATCTATTTAATATTTGAAGAATTCTATATTTTTCCGAGTAATATATTGTGCGTTAAATTATTGTTCATATATACATATTACTGTAATATGTATACATTTTAATATTCAGTATTTCTTCGTTCTATGCTTCGTTGCACAATGTACACGCCTTGCGTCAATTTGACAGTTGACAGTTTATTTATCGCAGTCGACGCTGATTGGTTCGCGTTTAGCAGATGCGAAAAGGGGATGATTGAATAAATCGCATGGTTGCGTGCAGGCTCACCTTTCTCCCAGTGAGCCTGTTCGCAGGCTATGCTTTATTAAACTTCCGTAAAAGCATGTATTCCCTTCGGCAATGTACGTTACTTTCGCTATCCAGTTATTCTTCAGATCAGTGAGAAGAGCTATAATTTACATGTTCGAAAAGTTGACGGGCAGCTATCGGAAAGGGATCGGTTTAGCAACAGCGGCCTGAATATACGTACGATGTATCTAAATTTGTAAACATTGAGCGGGAGAAAATAAAAATGGCTGCATTGTAATAGTTCAAAAGTTTATTGAATATCTTGATATATATCACTCAGTGATTGAGGCAAATTAATATTTGTGATCAGAATTACATAATTATAAATGGGATTACATGATGACTTCAAAGCGAAAGTCTCGAAGGTACGAATGATCATATAATTGCTAATTTTGTTATTAATAGAGTCGAATCAGTCGATACTCTGCCACGACAAGGACCCATCTATAGGCATAGACTATAGTGGCAATTTCGTTGTTTATATGTTACGATCAATTCGAAAAAATCTAGATCCTCTCGGGCATACCCCCGGGAATTTGAACTTTGAAAATTTGATTGTCCAAATTCCTCACCCCCTGGCAAAACATATTGTTCAAATTTATTTATTGTATTTATTTTTATTTGCCCCCCCCCCCAAAAAAAAAGATGTATATATATTAAGCTTTTTACAATATTATAAGGGCTAGGAGCCTACTAGAAACCTTGACAGGCTTTGTATTAAAGGCCCCTAGATTAGGATATAGATATACCCAACTATTAAAGGGCCGTTGAGGCGAGCCAGGCTCAGCCAGCTCAGGTACCAGAGCTAGCTCGCTTTGCCAAGCTGATTTCATTCTGCGTTTACACAAGACTTTTGAGGCGAGCCGGCTCTCGCCAAAACAAACCACTGGTCTAATCGCTATAAATGGTATAATACCAGGGTCGTAAGCTAGAACGATAATTGGGGTGTGTATATTCATATATTTGTGTTCTGCCCGACGGATTTCTTTTGAAATCGATTGTTTTTACGGTATGTAAACCAAAATATATCAATATACTCCCCCCAATTATCGTGTCTAGCTAAAGTATGGCCCTGTATACAATAATATAAATTTATTTTCACATGAACCTGTTATTCGCACATTTGCGAGCAGCTTCCATAGACATAACCCATGGAATCATTCATAGAGACGTTTTAAGATCGCAATCTTTTGAAAAAATCTTATTTACAACAATATATTTGTGTGAATACAGCAATAGCCAGCCCATTCTTTGCGTTTATGTGGGAAATTCCTATTCCGGTCACCCTAGATCTTGGGTAAGTCGAGGCAGGATCTCGGTTCAGATATAAATGCAAAATGAAATTTAGTAGAAATTAAGTAATAACAGGGCTGGGTCTAGCCTAAACTGGGCCAGCTTGGGGCTCACCCCAAACAGTATAAGCAGCCCCTAACTGTCAATACAGAACGAAAAAATGCTGAAAATACACATCCTACTGTGTAATAATAAATATTTTTATATAAGCAACAAAGTTATTAAGGTTACACCAGAGTTATCAATAATGCAGTGGGTAATGTTTTCTCAAATATTAACATGAACAAATTTCCCAGGGTCTCAACACTAATTTTATCCTCAAACATTTCAAATTTGCAAATTTGTGATGGCAAGTACAATTAGGCCAAAAAAAAAAATATGTGGGTTTCCGGTTTCTTCTTATAAAAACTTAGGTAGGTTTTAACTTTTTTTTTTTTAACTTTTTTTTTAATTTTCCGAATAAGCGGACGCCATTTTGTTTAGTCAGTGCTTCCACATCCAAAAATGAATTTCCCTAATATTACCTCAAATTTCAATTTTCCACAAACTTTTTCCTCTAAGTGGAAACATTTACAAGCATGATCCAATAAAAAAGTTTAGGGTCGGGATTTCGACGTCCAAAAGCTAGGTAGGGTCGGGAAACCGGAAACCCACATATTTTTTTTTTGGCCTTATAGGGATTAATAGCACAAGTGATGTTTGGAAATTTTGCCAAAATTGGACGAGCCGCCCGTTATTTGTTTATTATTAGCACAACAAAATATAAATATCATATTCTCTTGCCAAAGCCCAGTTCTGCCAGACTTTCAACCAAAATTTGGTGCTTTTGTTTGTATTTTTATTTAGTTCTTTTGCTTTAAGTTCCTCTATAGCCTCCTCGTAGCCTGAAATTTTGTTCAAAGGAAAGTCCTCTAGGGCAATTTCATTTGTGTTTAAATACCTTTATGCCATTTTGTTTGTTCTTGGAAAATCATTAATTGTATTGCAGTACAATTAATGAAATAATTTTACTCCTCTCAACCAATCAGCATCCAGCAATTTTGTCATGCTAATATTAAATACAGTAATCAACATTTCAAAGTAATCATTAGTTATCACACATGAACTGTAACATTGCTGCAGTACTGGTGACCACTTTAACACTATCTACTTACAATTTAACAATACATCAAACAGGCTCATGCATTTAACTCTGTCTATATTATAACAGAATAATATATTGTTTCCATTTTCCCATTTTGGTCATCACCAACTACTATGCAGCTTATTTTACAGTTTATCTGCCACAAAACCTATGGTACTGTCTGCCAATTATCAATTTTATTATACATTGTAGTCACTCTGCATAGTCACTGATTGGCCAATAGCTTACAGCTATGTAGATGTGGAAATCATACAACCAACAATCTACAGCACAATTCATAGACGGATTTTCATATTTTTTACTGGGGTGGTGCCAGAAATTTTAGGGGGGTGAGCCGTGAGCAGGTGACTGAAGCAACACAAAGTGTCACCAAACCCCAGTAAGGTCTATATTCTAGGGGTGGAGCACTAGAGCCGCGAGGGGGAGTCTAGAGAGCAGAAAACAAAGTATCCCTGGAAAAATTTGAAAAAAATCATGATTTCTAGCTTCGAAAAAAAGTTTTTTGAAGTTGTCATATCAATGGATTTGGCATACTGTATGTCCGATTGTCTGTTGAGACTTGAGAGAGTTAAAGTTAAATGAACCTGTAAAAGTGTAAACCCAATAGGCCAATACACAATATGCTTTTACTTTTATAAAGTCATTGACATTGTGTCATTTGAATCCGAGTACAATTTATGATGGAACTCCTATGTAAATAATATATATATAAATAATATATATAATATATATATATATAATATATATATATATATAATATATATATATATATATATATATATATATATAATATATATATATATATATATATATATATATATATATATATATATATATATATATATATATATATATATATATATATATATATATATATATATGTTATATGTTATATATACACACGTTGTATTTGAAAATATATAATTCAAAATTATTTTAATGCTTCTATGGGCCAGTGTTCAAAGCTTGATTAGTGCTAGACCATATAATAGCCACACTTAATTAAAATACAGAGCTGTAATCAGATAATGTAGCGTTTATGCAACAGCAATTAGTCTCAATATTTGGCATCAAATAAACACCTACTAGCTGTTTATATATGTGATTTCCTGACCAATTTCATTGTGAATATAGAACCAGGTGATCTCGTGTTCGTATTTTAGCCAATCAGCGCTCAGAAAGGGTTGTCCGAATAGAAATCCATTTTGATGTATTCAGTCAATTATATCTTTCGTTATTCTTTATGAAACTAGTTGAAATTTTGTAATTATGTTTGGTTATGAGAACTATAGCTCTGATAAAAATATGGAATCGAAATAAAGTATATTACAGGAGATATTCAGTTGTTTTAATCATAAAATGGATTTCTATTTGACAACTAGTGCCAGTACTTTTCCGCGTATCAAGATCACCTGGAAATACATGCCTATTTCTAAACCTTATGGTGTTGTAGTAAATTAGTAACGAACAATGACTTATTGAATATTTTGATGAGACTAAGTGTTCATGATATTCTCACTTTATTCTTAACATATCTTTTGGCTATTGTTTCATTGTACTCACCACTAATGAAAAATTTGTTTTCTGATACGCTGTTTGACGACTTTTAGTTTTAACATGCGCAAACGGGTTGGATAAAGGCTGGGTCTGGTCAAATACATCGGCCAATCCGTCGACATCCATCAGCTCTTGACCGGACTCTCGAAGCTTTTTCTCAACTTCGTTCCGTATTGTTTGCACCGTATTTTGAACAATAGCTGTTGTGCCTTCTACTACGCTGTCGAGGGATGTTTGAGTGAGATAGTGCACTTCTTTCAGTTTCATCAAGTACAATGCATTCAAACGCTTAATTTCATCACCATTTTGCGCTATTTCATTATTATCGCCCCCTCTCTCTGGTACTTCCGGTTCCACAATGTCAATGGCCCTCATCGGTTGTCTGATGTTCGTATCGATGTCTTTATGAGTGCGCCGAAGATGACTTTTGTAGCTGAAAACTCGAGAAAAGGTGGATTGACATCCAGACACGTCACAAACAATATGTAAACTTGGATCATCCCTGTGAACTTTAACCAAATGTCCCACCATCTCTGATATACTTGGAGCAAAAAAATGTACACATATTTGACATCGAACTCGATTCATTTTGCCCAATCACCAATACTGAATGCCGTAAGTATGAAAAATGATTGTCTATAATGTTCTGTTACGACTATATTCTTATATCATTGATAACTGCACATAAAATCGAAATAAAGCCATTAAAAACGAGTTTAGATAAAAATACTTTGTGACTGAAGAATTCATGTAAGTAAATTCGCGGGAACGTCTCGCCAACAATTCGCGAAGGGACTGGAGCTAGGACCTTTTGCGGCCGATGAATCATGGGATATCGCGCCAAAATTACTGGTCTTTTCTTTTTACGAACCTCGCTTCTCTACGCTTTTGCCTTTTTGTGCTACAAAATGTCTTTTTTTAACTTGAACGAAAGTTCAACTGAGGATGAAGTTATCAATTTTTTGGAAAAGAACGACTTTCCATTTTTGATAAACGAGTTTGCAGGTAAAATGAAGTGTTTTCGCATATTTTTTTCGCTTTTGTAAACGAAGGAATTAAAACGAACATTTTAAATTCCTCCCTTAATACTGTTGTAAAAGTACTTATATTTCTATGTTTTTTTTACGTTCAAGAAAATCAAATTGACGGAAGTGACTTTTTTGAGTTGGAGCTTCGTGATATTAATGGATTTATTCCCGTATTTAAGCAAAGGAAACGGTTTTTAAAGCTCTGGTCGTCCGTCACGGGAAAAGTAGGTTTCCAAAATTGTTTGAATTTGTATTTCACATTTCTTTAAGACTCGTTTTTTCACAATATTTTTTGAAATACGTTATTAAAGGTTAAAAGTGTGTTGCTTATAGTAATTTGGTGTATTTTAATAATTTTCAAGTTTTATTTTAATAAAATATGTTTGCTCGTTTCGCATTTTACGGCATTGTTTATCGAGGCAGGATGGGGCTTTTCGAAAACGGTTATTTTAAGGTGGCTCCCTACAATTCTGACATTTTTTCATAAAAGATTAAGGATTAAGATAAGAAAATTAGGCCAATTAATAACAGCTGAAAGAGTAAATGTTCTGATAAAATATTTTCACTATTATATAAAAATGATTGCTTGGCGTCGATATATTTATATTGTATTGAAAATGGCATATAAATTGATTATATAAATGACAAAATTATAATATTTCAATCAGCATATAACCGTATTTTGTAAAGTAGTTAACTTACGAAAACTTTATTTTTAGAAATTTGATATTAATGGAGTGAAAATACCTGCTGTTGCAGAGTCTTGTAGTTTGACGCAAAAAAATCTAGTATGTATATTTTAAAAAGAACATAACTTTAGTTTGAGCGATGTGATTTAGCATCTCATATCGATTTATGCCACGAGAAACCACATATGGACGTTTCTCTGTTGCCCCCCCCCCCCCCCCCCCCTTGGAAACGTCACATAATTTTCGGTATTTTATTGTGTAAGTATTTACTTACACAATACTTATAATTCCACATTTCCATACTTTTTTCTTAATATTTACCGTTCAGTATTATTCCAAAAAGTCTAAGTTTCTTTAATAGACTATTTATTTTTTCCACAATGTTTCACAGAGAAACGTCACAGCAGACAATCCCCCCCCCCCCACCACTCCCAACGTCCATATTTCTCGTGGCATAAATCAAGATATCTATGGCATAAATCGATATATGAATTTATTAAGGGAGGTATGAGTCATACCTCCCTTAATAATCCAGTTCAGTTAATTAACGAAGATAAATATGATAGAAAAAAGTTGTGGGTTTCATTTCTTGAATATGTCAGTCATGGACGCAATTCTTTTGCGAATTCTCTCCAGAAGATGCTAAAATACATACATTATTATATAGATTGTTCCAAATATAAGGGTTATACAGTTAAAGTTAATATACTAAACCCGTATGGAATCTAAAGCCAAGATTTTACGAATTTTTTGTTTGGCGTGCAGTATATGAAGAGCAAGATGGCGAAGCAGCAAGTTGCTTACAATCGCTATCTACGCAATTAAAAAGAATGGAAGCACTGTACAGAATTGTTCGTTTACCAGAGTCGGTACGCGGGAAGGGGGTTGAAGGTCATATGCGCAAGCTCTAGTCATAGCCCGTCTACGCAGATGTTGTTAGTGGCCGAGGCCTCACCTAAACGTCTGCTCACAATCGCTACACATTCGCTACGCATTTGACTTCCCGGCAATTAACCAATCACAATGATGTACGCGATAATTGGAACATCGACCTTCACTGACCTTCACATGCATGGGATATTTAGGGGCGGACCATTAGAAATCCTGGGAGGGGGGGTATAAAATTTTTGCGGCACGAATTTTTTTTTTCAGTCTCGTGTCTCTGCAGGAATTTTTTTTAATGCATTTAACCTCTGCACGAATTTTTTTTCAAGACTATTTGTACTTCGTTGTTTGCTTGCACGAATTTTTTTTCTCTGACGTAATGGCTGCACGAATTTTTTTTCCAGGCATTTTCCTTTGCACGAATTTTTTTGGGGGAATTTTCACCCCCCTTCCCGGGATTTCTAATGGTCCGCCCCTTATATCAACAAGTCTGTAGTGTTTTTAAATATTAACCTAGAGTATCAGGCCCTTACTTTTCATTCGCCAGGATTAATTGGCGGCTGATGCTCAGGTTATTTAAATATAAAAGTTTTAATACTACGCATCAAGCTTTTTTCATTCTATTATAAACGAAAAGAAGGATGTTTTCGTTAATCTCGCAACTGGCGCAGGAAATCACCTATTTATCACGCAGTTAGTCGTTACCCATGCTGTTCGATGTAATATTCGGATTTAAATATTTAATTAAACAAATTGTAAACGTGTAGACATTTAATATTAATCGTGGTTTCGCCAAAGCCGATCGATTCCTGTGGCTTTGAGAATTACAAATGCGAACACATGTGTAGCATTTATTATAATACATACTGACATGAGCTTCATGCATCAATAGCCAAAGGACAAACCATTCTGCTATACAGTATACACTTTCTATGTCTTCAACAATGATTCTGCATACTGTGCCATATAATACAGAATAGTTCCCTTCTTCGATCCAATGCCTTCGCTTCTTCATCACTGCTCGATTCCACTTAATAATGACACTGCACTGATTCCTAGATCGTGTAGTTTTTTTACTTGATCTCGCATTGAAATTATCAATGGCGAAACCACGATTAATACTAAATGTCTACACGTTTACAATTTGTTTAAATATTTAAATCCGAATATTACATCGAATACTGTAGCTTCGGTAACGGCGTGATAAATAAGTGATTTCCTGCGAAAACATCCGTCGTTTCGTGAATAATAGAATGAATTGAAAAGCCTGATGCGTAGTATTAAAACTTTTATATTTAAAAACACTACAGACTTGTTGATATAAATATACCATGCATGTGAAGGTCAGTGAAGGTCGATGTTCCAATTATCGCATACATCATTGTGATTGGTTAATTGCCGGGAAGTCAAATGTGTAGCGAATGTGAGCAGACGTTAGGTGGGGCCTTGGCCACTAACAACGTCTGCGCAGGAGGCTAGTTGTCGAATAGAAGATAAGAATTTAAACATTTGCTTAAATGAAGATGGAGCACTGGCATTTGTGAGAATGTTAGTTAGTAAGAGAAGCTTCCTAAATTTAACAAGATCAAAGATTGGGATTATTCGAATCTTGGAAAAAAGAATAACAGAAGGAGTAGAAAAGTCAGCGTCTAGAATAATAGGTGCTGCACGCTTTTGCAGTCGAAGAATGCGAAGTAAAAGTGTTTTTGAGCAGTTTCCCCAAGTTACAGAGCAGTAGATAAGACTTGAATTAATACAGGAGTTATAGAAACGAAGAGAACTGCCCTTAGTTAAAAAGGGTTTAATCCTGCGTAATAAAGCAAGTCTACTATTAATTGTTGAACACAAGTTGTCAATATGCTTGGTCCAAATTAAAAACTCGTCAAGCGTTAAACCCAACACTTTTGCTTGCTTCACCTGTGCAAGCATGTTGCCATTAAGAATAACTGATAGAGAACGGTCTGAAGTATTCTTGATTTTTTTCTGTGTTGGTGTAGTGTACTCAGGTGAATATGATATTTGTGGTGTTACTCTGAGTGTATATTATTCAAATATACAGCTAGTATTCCAAAGGTCGTAGGTTCGAATCCCACCGTGGCCGGGCATATTTTTCAAGCTCGCCCGGTGTGGATATATTCTTAAGTTGCTGGGGAGAATGGATGAGCATGACTTCGACAGATATGTGACAGATATCTGCAGGCATTTTACAGATATGTCAGTTTGGTAAGCAGGAATTGTTTATTTTGAATCATTTGTTGCGTGGTTTCGTCGAGGAATTAGCACTGAAAATTTGCAAAGGTATTAGAAAAGCGTGGCCGTTCTTGATTGAACGGCATTATATCCTGTGCTTTTCTTGTAATTTACTGATTTTCGTGTGATTTTGCTGTCACCAAATAGTCAAATACTTGCTGAATTGCTGTTTGCTTTGAGGGGGTCAGACTCACGAGGGCTTGAATATTGCGCTGGTTTTGTAGTTTCTACTTTGTTTTCCATAATTATATGCTATAGTATACAGTATGTACATATTTTTGTTTACCAGATGTATATAGTAATTCCTTTCATTTGCTTGCGAGTTCAATTCAGCTAAGTTGTAATAAAGATCGAAAATATTGAGAATAAAATGTGAATCTCTAGCTCGCAATGTCTTGGTGAATCGCAACACTCGTAAACAATTTCTAATAATATCCGCTCTTGCATTTGTCTGGTGCTCTGTATTTTGAAGTTTTACCAGAGTGAAAGACTTATTAATATAATAATTACGATAGATGTACTTGAAGATACGATTTGGAATTTTGTTGTACAGTACATCTGGTTCTGATACCAAAAGATATTTTAAGGGAAAAGTTACTCATAAATACTAAAAATAAAATGTGATCATCGGCCCAGCAACGAGCGAGACTACCACATAATTTGTTACACGATCGAACTGTAGACTAGACATGAATTATAATCATCATCTTAATCATCATCTAATAAGGGTCTTCTAAGTTTCAGTTGGCATGCAACATGTACGCCGTGCGTGCCTATTTTTCAATTTAAGCACTGTTGTGTGCAGGTTAATTCTGAGTCATGGATGCTATCATAATTATAAGTTGATAAACATTGAAGTCAGATAAAAAGCATTGCAACCAAAAACATTGGCTTATTGTAGTCATGATTGTAGTTTAAAAATGACGTAATGGCCTAGGAAAGACCGTCCTTCGCAGATTGTCATTTAATCTCACAATAATTTACACGTTTGTAACATTCGGGGTGGTAGGCCGTTGGAACCCCTTAGTTTTTGAACCAACCCTATCTAACTAGCATTACGCCACTCCTTTATCAATTGGGTTGTTAACTTAGTAAGATTTCCGTCAGAGCGGTCAACACATTAAACTTGAACTTAAGGAATCCAAAGACAACGAAATGGAGGAAGTGGATCCAGTCAACGAAGATACACAAGAAGAAAGGTCTTCAGATAATGAACAGTTGGAAAATATGATGAAAGTATATGAGAGATACTTGTCCCAACCCGTAGGAGAAGAAGGGTGGGAACAAATGTGGAGAAAACGTATGGTCCCCGCACCAAAAAAGTCTTCTGATGAATTGAAAGTGGAAAAACCGATAAATGTGCCTGTTAAAGGCCTATCGGACGCTGAATGGGCCGAACTACTTGGATTTTAATGTATCTTACATTATTTCTTTATTAATAAAATAGTTCTTGTTCTTTAAATTCATTTATTGGTTTTCTATTTGTATTTCTAAAGTATCTAGTCAGCTGTCAATATCATAGTCCTCTTTAGTCTGTCCGGCATAGGAACGGAATATCGTCACCAACAGGGGTAGTGGGTTCCTCATCACTATGATCCAACACAAATCGGGACACAGCCGGTCGAGGCATTTCGATAGGGAAAAAGATTCATCAGTAATACTATTGTTGTTATCATAACCAGCTAAATGGTGAGTACCATCAGATCAAACCAATTAGCAGGAGAATTCTGGTTAAGATAGCTAAGCGAGTATTATTCCAATTGGGTACATATACAATAGAACCAGGACAAGAAGTAAACCGGAAAAGAGCATATAGGCCATGTCAGTTGTTGGATAGAGAATGGTGTAAACCGCAACGAACTGACGGAGTTTTAATGTGACATAGCCTGACAAGCTTCTTGCTTGATCCCATTAACTAAATTAAAACAAAAACAATACCAAACAACCTAAATTTAAAACATCTTTTAAAAACATTTGCCCCAAGATACTCAAATACTTATCGACAAAATCTTGATGGAGGCCGAAAATGGTAACAATTTCCGTACGAAATACAAAAGTTACAAAATTTGCAAATTTTGCAAGCCCATATTTTTCGCATTTTACAACATTTCGCAGCAAATACATTTTTTCAAAATTAGTCATAATGAAATGTCTATTCAGGCTGCTATTGATAACTTTGCGTTATAGATCATTAGCTATATGATCGGTCATAAGTCTGCTTCGCCTGTGCCCAGTCTAAACCCTAAAATGTTAGTAATCTTGGCAGGTAATATAGTAGCTAGTATGGTTTCCCCGATTTTTAAAGGACCAGCATTTAGCATATTATGTGGTAGCCGCATATCTAGAGGCCTGCAACCATACCACAAAACCACATATTTTACAATAACTTGTGTGTAACTATAAATTCATTAATCATTGATTCTTTATTTGTAGACAACTGGTGATATGCAATCTACAACAACAGAATCACAACCATTTTCTATTCGCCAGGATTTAACAAACATTAGCTCTAGTGTATGTAATCAATTAACCCTTTCAATACCCTACATTATAATAAATGGGTGAATAAATTATCAAAACAATAAAACCCCTCGTAATTCGATGCATTTTCAGTCAATTGAAAGTTGAATTTGGACTGTCAAATGTATGTCCTACATGTATGTCTGCCCATATAATGTAGTCTGTATCTACTACCAAAGCACCATGCATGCCATAAAGAAAATACAATTGAACCATGATATATTACAATAACTATGTAATGAGTAACGTATAACCATTGATTTTTCAGTCCATTACTAACTCGGACATCCATAATGATGAATTGAGATTGGAAATCACCTCAACAGCTGGTACCTACAGTTCATCTAAGGATTCAACAAATGCAAGCTGTCGTGTATGTAAATATTAACCAGAAGCTATACCAGACAAACATGAAACCCAGTATTTTACCATTACTGATATATGTTATTCGTCGAATACTATCTTTTTAGCCTATTAGCAACCAGTCCTTCGCTAGCGAATTGGAATTACAATCCACATCAACTCAGCAGCCACAGGTTTGTTTCGATTATCACATAATACAGGTATACGGGTGCTTTATTCCAGAAAAATAGACATTATACGTATTTGCGTATAAGTTGACACAAGACAAAATCGTTAACCGGTCGAGGTTGAGAATGTAATCTAGCTTAGTTATAGTAGATATTCTCTCTTCTATACATTCTCTCTCCTTGTATATATCAAGGCCAGCAACTCTATATTATATATAGTGTTATTTTTAGGCAATTTCTGTAACCGCCAAAGACATATCAGCCTTGGCTACAACATCATCTTCTCAGGTAACAAAATATATCGCCAAAAAAAAATATTATGAACTCATTTTAGTCAAAGAAAGTAGACAATTCAAACAATATGAAAAGCGATCTTCTCAAGTCGTAACTGTAACAAAAACAATAAAAAGCCATCTTACTAGCATAGTCAAATAATTGGAAAAATGTACGCCAAAAAATAGCGGCGTACGTTGTTGATGCCACAAGAATGTAAGTCGTAGGACCAAAATTTAAATGTAAAGATAATGTAATTCTCATTACATATATATTCTACAGGCTATTGTACGTTGTGCTACTGGCTCTTGGATAAAAAACTTCAAGATTCCTGCCAGGGTAAGGATATTATTTAATTTATTTTGACTGTTTATTGTTTATGTATTTTTTTAAAAACATATGCACTTGAGAGAAAATATAAAAGAAGGATCTTTTTGTACCTGGGAATATGTGGCAGATTTACATAATGAAAGCATACAGATTTTAAGTACTATTTAAAGCACGCGAGTAGGAGTGTTTTATCACATATAAAACACGACGCGTAGCGGAGTTTTTTATATGTGATAAAACACGACTACGAGTGTTTTAAATGGCTTAAAAAACGACCCATCTTCTGATGAGTGTATTAGCGAAGTAATTAGTTTTAAAATAAACTTTGTCTAAACCGAGAAAATCAAAGCTAAAGTTTATGTAAATTAACATGTTTTTTTATCCCATATAAAACCACGACAAAGTTTGCTCCTGGATTATTAATGAGTTTTTTAAATCAGGCATCAAACCTGCCATACCAAATGTGATGAATATTTTATATACAAGTGCAAAATAATAGCTAATTTTCTTTTGTTTTGTTAGTGGGAACCAAGCATAGAAAAGGCACTGAGTGATGGAAAGCTGACACCAGAGCAAAAGAGTGCGTTAAACAGACAACTGTGTATGTCGATAATTGCACAAAGTACAGACACAGTCACTGCAAGTGAAAGGAACCAAATTGCATTGATGCTTGTGCAAAAATATCCCTGTCTGAGCGGCTCAATTGGATCAGGACACGTAAGTTTATAAAAAGCACATACCGTTGTAACATGATTCCGGCAAATTACCAATTAATCACACGTAACTGATTAAACTGGCAAAGATTTAAAGCCGTTTTCCAAGCGAATTTATTCAAATCTTTTTTCAGCAATTCTGGGCAAACAAGATAAAAGATCGGTTGCTGAATATTACAAGAAAAAGTTCTAGAGAGGTAAACAAAATGCATGCAGTAGGTGTCTTTACAAAAGATAGGAAATTTAAAGTAGGCCTATATCTGCATGAAAACTGAACAATAGTCATTATGTGACCTTATATCAAACTTATTTGCATATCAATCGATGATTCCCCTTATAACGTTTTCGTAGCGCTTTGCCTTGTGGTCAGTATAGTGGTATCACTGATAAATATAGTGGCCTCGAATGAACATATTGAATGTTTTCGCGAATATTTTGCTGTTGGCCATCGTGCACCTTACCCTAGCTTTTTTAAAAGTTCTTGCACGGGTCGGGACAAAAAATAAGCCATCTTGAATATATGTAATACCACTATAACCACCTAATAAGGGGAATCATCTAATAGATGATTTCCCTTATTACGTTTTCGTAGTGCTTTGCATTCCATAGTGGTATCACAGATATTCAAGATGGCTTATTTTTTTGTCCCGACCGTAGGCTAACTATATATATTAAAATGTCTTGGTTTGTAGAGTAGCACACAAGCCTATATATATAAAAGAGAAAAATATAAAAGCGATTGTTTTCACAAAAAGAAACTGATACTCCTATATATACGCCAGCTACTATTTAACCCGTAGAATAAAAAGATGATCGAATCTACCGGGCAGCAATATCAGAAGGCGAAACCGGGAAGAAAGAGAAAGAGTGATGAAGCATTAAACTTGCCTGAAATGCCTGAAGGAGAAACCGACGAAACTATTCAGGAACATCTGACCAGCCTGCAAGCGTTTTGTAAAACTGGAAAGCAGGACGTCCTTTTGGTCCGCCAGTTAATGGATGTGACATTTCCCAAGAGAAGAAGGGATATAATCGAAAACAACGAAAGAGTGTGGAAAGTTGTCAAAGATTATCCCCCGCTAACGAAAGGAAAAGGCAACGAGGTGTTTTTTGTAACTATAACGAGCGAGTGTGGAAAATACGTTACATATATACATAGTGATTATGTTGAATGCGATTGCAAGCTGCATTGCACACTTAAGTTTGTACATTGTTTTCTCACTGTATCTGGGAAGGTGTATATATAGGTCTTTCCTCTGTTTTATATTTAAAACAGACTAACTGTCGTATTTTAGCATATTCTTACAGCTCATTTTAACTATATAAGCGCTTTGACAAAAACCAGACCATGTCTCTATAAGACTGTTTTGAGCATGGGCAATTTTCAGAAAGTTCAGAACCAGAAACACAATTTTGTCAAGTCAGGATCAAAGTGTAGTGATTCGAATCATAAAGGGTAAACCGAAAACTAAATCTAATATTTATTCATTAAGGTCAAAGCAGAGTTGGGGCGGATATTGCGCAACAAAAACCTTCCGCAAGAAATGAAAGAGAGGTTTGATATCAACAGAGCTCGGCTGATAGCAGCAGTAAAAAGAAGCAAAACAAAGGAGGTTCAGGCACTAGCCATTTTGCTGGATGAATCCGATTCTTCCCAAATAACTGGTATAGTAACCTATATGAAAATACAATATATATGTTCGCATATATATATATATATATATATATATATATATATATATATATATATATATATATATATATATATATATATATATATATATATATATATATATATATACGAACTTCTTGCTTATAGAGATGGAAAATAAATAACGTAACTTCTTGTTTATAGAGATGGAAAATCGAATGTTAATGGCAGCCTTGCCTTTTGCTCTTGGAGAAAAGAGAACATCAACATTATCTCCAGGTGACCTTTTCTGGAAAAGAGTTGATGTAAGTAACTATATATTATAATATATTTATTATTTACTTCTCTTAATTCATATACATTATGGCAGCTGGACTAATTAAAATGTGATATGCTATATGAAATTATTTAATTCAAAACGTTAAACGACCCTTTTTCTTTTAGTATGTGTTCGCTTTAGTGCATGGGATCCTGTGTCGTGCAATACTAACTCAAATCACTCTGCTCTTTATAATTACATTATCACCAATCACTTCATTGTTTTCTGATTTCCGACCATTGTCTCGTTAACGGCGTTCATTGTTTATTGAATAACTACATGTTTAATGAACAACTGTTTCTATATACAGAGATGTTCATTTAAATATTAAATGCATATATCATTTGCAAGATCATTATTTACGTATAGCCCACATGTCTTAATTTTTCTATTTCTTATATTGTAGGATGAAACTGGAGATATGAGCATAAGTCAGCTTGTTGAAGAGTCTACAACGCCACGGCTACTTTCCAGTGGAACTGCGCTTGAGGTATCCTCATTGTGTTTGGCAGCGGAGGGAATGGTAATTTGCAAATTCAGTCCTGCTAACCACATTTTGAATGCTGTGGTGACATTGCTGGCATGCTTCTACAGTTTTAACATGAGCTATCCCAACGGTTTATCAAGAAACGTATACTCCTTTCTAGAGTACATTTTGCTTGGTATAAAGCCCAGTAAAGTTCAAATTGGGCTGGATCAATTTATTTCAGACATAGAAAGCATATAATCTTTATATAACATTATATTATATAGCCAGATGCCCGTACTAACTAGCCAGTCTCGTTAATGTTGAAAAGACGATCGAACGTTGTTTTATCTGACTGCATGCTTATACATGCATATGTATATGATTTGTAATTCTTGAGATGAATATAGTATACAAGGTAAGGGGCAAAACAAAAGCAATTGTTACATATATAAATGTTCTTATAAATAGTTGTTCAAAAAGCTCCGTGGCTATTGCTCGCTTGAAAGTCGTGTATATATATATATATATATATATACACGAGGCGCTTGAACCCTCCAGTGTGCTGCAGTTCTATACTGATCTGCACTGGTGCACATTCAACCCACAGTATTCTTGTAAATCGCGGCTGGTTAAGGCTTTGCCTCATTCAATATTTCTTCTATGTTGGGTGCCAGGTGGCTCTGGTACACAGTTACATTCAGGTCACCGCCAGTCGGCCGGTTGCATTTTGTACGCCAGGGCATTTGAATGTTTGCATGTGGTAAAAGAGCCAGCTATAGTATACTACTGTATACAGCACAGATTTTTTGAGCCATGCGAGCGTTTATATGAAGTGACAATTGCTGTTTTCCCCAGTGTGAACTATAAATAAATATATTTTGTTGTTAAAAAGTTCAATACAATGTTTTAAGCCTGTAAAGAATAATTGTGATCTTTTACTTGGTTTATTGGTTGCTCTAACCAATGTAAAAGTTGGTCATTATAACCAATTTGTTGTTTTAACCAAATAAATATAGGTAAAATTTTATCAAACTACCAAAAATAAATAGGTTACCTCAGATCCACACGGGGTACAATAAATAATTGGTTAAAATAACAATTTTGGTAGAAACAACCAAAACCGTAATTGGTAAATTTGACATAAATTTAATTGGTAGACACTACTAATGTCAAATTGGTTAAAACAACCAATACGATTTTTGGTTAATTTTACATATATTTTTTGGTTTAAAGTACCAATTATTATTTGGTTAAAGTTACAGAGTCCTATTGGTAGAAATAAACTATTCCAATTGGTTGTTTCCACCAATTAATTTTTACTCATAACAAATTGGTAGTTTCAACCAAAAAAATATAGATTATCTCAGATCCACTTTTCTACCAATTTTTTTTGGTTGTTTTGACCATCAAATTTTTACAGTGTAGTGTACCATAGACTCTTAAGTATTTATTCTTTATTAAGTATTTATTAAGTATTTATTCTTTATTAAGTATTTATTAAGTATAAATTAAGTATTTATTATTTATTAAGTATTTATTCTCACTTGGATTACAAACCCTAACGTTCTAACATTAATTCCCGACAAAGTGAAGTGCAAGAATCTATCATTGAAGTCCACCTTATCAGTTATCACAACCCGAACACCCGATTACCTATATATACATGAACTTACGGTTACAGCTTAACAGCTGGCCCCTGTAGCTCAGTTGGTTAAGGCCGGCGCACACTAGAGCTATGTGCTTAGCAAAATCGGTCATTCGTGACTGTTGGCGTAAGGAGATAGCTCTCGTGTGCGGGCGATTTACGAACGACTTTTGTCATTCGTGCCACTTACGCCAAATATCTAACATGTTTGATAATTTCTGCCTCGCGTGCCAAAATCTTTCCGTGTGCGGCGAACGAAAGCTATCTGCTTACGGATTGTCGTAACAGCGCATGCGTAGTATACGAAACTAAACATCCAAGATGGCGGCGCAAAATGAATTGCTGGCCGAGGCAATTTTAGAGGGCAAACTTGTCGAACTTTGGCCTGAATACAAATGTTTATACGATGTGAGTTCTGCAGATTTTAGAAATAGGGACAAAAGGGAATGTGCGGTGAAAGAAATAGCCAGTAAGTTTGTCCTCTAAAATTGCCTCGGCCAGCAATTCATTTTGCGCCGCCATCTTGGATGTTTACTTTCGTATACTACGCATGCGCTGTTACGACAATCCGTAAGCAGATAGCTTTCGTTCGCCGCACACGGAAAGATTTTGGCGCGCGAGGCAGAAATTATCAAACATGTTAGATATTTGGCGTAAGTGGCACGAATGACAAAAGTCGTTCGTAAATCGCCCGCACACGAGAGCTATCTCCTTACGCCAACAGTCACGAATGACATTTTGCTAAGCACATAGCTCTAGTGTGCGCCGGCCTTTAGAGCGCTGCACCGGAATCGCAGGGCCGTAGGTTCATTTCCTACCAGAGGACCTTGTGCTGCATTTTTCACAGTCGTTCCTGGTTAGGTCTTAAAATGTATTTATTCTCACTTGGATTACAAACCCTAACATTCTAAGTTAATGTTTGCAAGTGGTATATGACGTGTTTAACAACGTCATCGCTACGCATGGTAAAATAGTCACTTCATTAACTCGTTCAAACGTATCTGAAATTAGACTAAAGTGAACAAACATATACGTTAAAGTAATTTGATGCATGCCAAAGTTGCCTATAAGGTTCCCAAGAACATTTTGTACCCACCCACTTGCACGACGGAAATGTTGTCAATTGCCTTTGGTCAAAATAGGAGGAGGATTTGTTATAAAATAATGTAAAGATCAAAACATTATAAAATGAAAAAGACATGATAAAGACAGCATATAATTTCAGTGTTTCTTTATTGATTAAACTTTTTTATTATGTTAAAAAGAAAGCAAAGTTGTCTGAATGCGAGAAGTTGAAATCATTTTATTTCAAATTCAAAGTTTTTCGATAAAGCCTTTAAAGGCAGTTTAGTTTTATAATAGCATAGTTGCCCGGGTTTCTTCTGTTTCAACAGGTACCATTACTAACTAATCGCCCGCTGTAGCGGTCGATTAGAACTAATCGCCCGTTACCAAGGGTCACACCTTTGTCTCCCTGTCTTGTCTCACTACGCATCAGGCAAGTGCCTCACGCACATAATCGTGCAAGGAACAGCAACAGTTAGCTCAGAGCCGTCAATAGTCTATCATCCGATCCCTGAGTTGCCGCATCATTTAAATTACGCACGTGCAGTCTCCAATTTTATGCTAATATATTTAGCATTTTTGTTGTGGTACGTTAAATGATAGATTGCGCATGCGTAACCGATTAAAGCGTAAAAAGTGCGCATGTGCAACAAGCTTTTACATCCCACAAGCAATGAAGCAAATGTTTTAGCTTAAATACGCTGATTCCAAATAGGGCATGTTTGTCCATTTTTAAATGGGAGCGCAACTATGCTATTACAAACTAATAGCATGGCTTTTCGGGAGATTAGTGACTAAATGACCCCTTACCCTCGGCAGGTTTGCGGAATTCCCTCTGGCTTCGCCCTCGGGAATTCCGCAAACCTGCCTCGGGTTACGGGGCCATTTAATCACTAATCTCCCTCAAGCCATGCTATTACTTATAATAAAGAACATTTTGAAACGTCGTGCGAAGAGTTTGAGGTTGAATTTTACCTTAAATTGAAACTTATGTTACGTATAATAACATACTTAACATATATATATTTGGGGAATTGAAAATTATGTAATGAAAGTGATATTTTTAGGGGATTTTTCATTTGTAAAAATATTCTTAACAAAATTATCGTGTTACCATGACAGCTATTTTTTCTAGTCTATTTTCTAGTCTATTGACGAATCGAAGCGAGTATACCGGTCTACTCGAATCGGGTTAGCTAAATCACGAGATAAACAGCATATGTAAATATGTATACATAAATAAATGGCTTCACGGTATATCAACAGAATTAAAGCATCTGATATAAAATCATCCTTACCTGATTTATTCAAAATATTGTCGATCGTTTCCACTGTTCAAATCCAACATATTGTATGTAAATATAAAGCTCGTATCCGTATTGCTCGTACTAAACTGAAGAATCTTGCGTGCGCGCCACGAAATAAAGTTTGACCGCCCCCCTCGTTTATAAAACTTCCTGAAGCCTTAATTATTTCCCCGGAATTTCGAAATCCTGACAAACAGACACAAAATCGAGATCTAGACAATACATAACTCGCGCGAAAGAGTGGGTCGAGTGTACTCTCGAAAATTAAAACCACAGCATTTATTCTGTTTACATCACATATATTGAACTTTTCAAGGGGGTCCAAATCGGCCAACTGGGATCCGTATTTACTAGTAGATTTGAACCCCGCGGGGGTCTATATGCACTAGTAGATGTGGCCCCGGGGACCAAATCTACTATTGGATATGCAACGTGGGACCAAATCTACGGCGGTCCAAATCAACAGGAACACCAGCTTAATTCATCTATTGAAATCATATCCACCGAAAAATATTGAGGCCCTTTGACGGTGTTGATCAAGACAATCCTTTACTGTGAAGACATATTGCATTTCCTTTTAACACTAGGCCAAATATTACATATACAAAACATGAAAAAAATCATGTCTGAGTTCTGATTCAAGCAAAACCTGAAACGTGCAATAGTAAAAATATAATAAATAACTGGCACAAGGTCTGCCCGACAAAACATGAGTACATGTCCTTACTCGTGTATAAACAATTCTAGAAATGCAATCAAGTGATATAAAGAATAACTTGGAGAGTTCGACATTACTCTCAAATCTCCGATCAAAATTACGTACAAAGCGTCAATCTACATTGAATCATTCATGCATGCATGAATTAAATAGACTGTTCCACATTATATTAAGTGTTATTTTGCTGGAACTATACAAAGATAATTTACGGTCTGCTTTGACGGTTTAACCAAAGGTCCAAAACTGGACATTCTGACTATAGTGTTATTCCAATAGGTCTGGCAAGGAGCTAAGGAAATCCATATTTGTAATTGATATACTGTTCGGCAAACGGAAACTATGGTTCCTAAATATTCGATAGACACTGCCAGTTGACTTCCGAGTACTCCACTGTTCTATTTATTAGCAGGAATGGGAAAAAAATCACTGAAAGGGCTATGATCTCTGCTTTTCGTTTTGTTTGTCAAGTTATTTCGTCTCAGCATGTCAAATTGTTGAGATATATTGCATACATTGAGATTTAATTTAACGTACCAACTGTAGAAGAACTCGCAGCGTCTATAACGTAGCCGTATATAAATATGTGTCGTATATAAATACGTGTCATTGACGTAATACGTCATGTGTCGTATTTAAATACGTGTCATTGACGTAAACGGGGTAAGATCATTAGCTATATAATTATTAGAGTCTATAACGTAGGCCAGATTTAATGTATCGTAAATACGTATCTTTAAATACGTGTCCTAGTTTAAATACGTACACAACATAACAATAATTTACGACTACAAGCCCTCGTAGTATTGTTCAAGCATGAAATTTTCAAATTTATACGCCAAACGTCAATTTCAAACGCCAAATCTTAACTTACTGCTATGGAGAATACGTGACTAGTGGTTAATTTGCTTTCTTAAGTCATTGCACAAGTTTAATAACTGTTTAATATATTTCAAAGCTGGTGTAAAAGCTATATTATAATAGAGTTTTAAAATCAAAAACTTCAATCTTAAGGTATCTAATGTCTTTAAAGACCTTGAAGGAATGTTCGATATTGTCCTCCAATATCGTTTACAAGACATTTTTGTGTAGACAGGAACTGTAAATGTGCGCGCGCACTGCATGTTTGATATTACATGGATTGCGACTATGGGAGAATATTATCTAAAATATTGTCTTTGAGATATACGTGACATTATGTGAAACTTGAAAGACTTTAGAGAAAAATTAGTTTTGCATACAGTGGTGCACTTTATAATGTACGTTAATCTTAAAACTGCGCTATCAGCACTACATAGACACATTCCTACGTTTGTTATACTCACATCTTTAATTCATTCGGTCTTAAATGTAGGTAAATGAAACCCTCACCTCATTTCTAAACCGGATTTTCACGGAGCAGTGTCGTAATATTAACCGAAATCATATACTAAACATCAAGGTAAGATGAAATTTTATAGTTTCGAAAGTCACACATTTGATTTTTCCATGTTATATTCCTATGATCTTTACATTATTTTATTACGAACCGCCAAACTGCCTAAGGGATTTCACTGAGGAAAAGAATTTCCAGATGTCAGTATTGACTAATTGTTTTCTAAATGTAGGCCCAATTAGTTCCTGCAGCGATGAAGTATTGTTTTGTTCTTTTTGTCGTGTTCATGGGGGCAGCAGTACATGGAATGCCTGGTCCAAATGATGATTGTATTTCTGGTCAGTCCTTTACTAACAGGCTGTGTCATCTTGAAAAATGGCCAATGTCACCTGGGCCCTGGCTATTCTTGCAGGTGAGCAGTGAGCACAATGCATTAATTTAATAGATGTGTCGAGTTATTCACATTACCGTGTATTTGATGCAAGAAATAAACGAAGAAGTTGAATTTTGTACTTATATTAGCTATTGTTTGCTTCTAGAATTTTTAGTGCGTGTTATGCACGCCTATGTTGTAGTTAAAATTTTTCATACGTATTTTGTTTTGTTTTTCAGGACACCAGGAACACCATTTCTTGGCTTTTGTCAAACAAGTTGAAAGAAGCAATTAGAGAATTTTCATTTATACTACCTAAGGTTGCTTGTAACGCTTTCAAATAGAAAATGTAGTCTGCTTTGTCAATGAAAATAACATGAGATCATGTAATGTTTGTTGTTTTTCAAAGTTAGAAAACAGACATTGATATGTATATAATGTTGTACTTTTTTTATGAACGGCACACCCATGCATGCATTTATATCTAAGAATATCAAACATCTTGCGTGTTCCGATCCTACATAATTATAGTTGTATAGAAACACGCGTAGGAGTTTGGGAGACGAGAAATTATCGGTGGATCAGTAAACGAACCCAAAGGCCACGATTTGGGTGGAAACATGGGAAAAATTGTTTTCTATTAATTTGAATATTACAATTTTTTGTTTAGAACAGTAGGATACTGGTTTTGGCATGCAAACAAAATAGCCTAAGAACTGGACTATTAATCATACAGTCTTACTTCTCGCTCAGTCAACAACATATATTTATTTGTTTAATTAATATGCTTTTTAACCTCAAATCCAGCAAATGTTCTCGGTCAAGATTAATACCTTATAGTCATAGATCCCGCAATATATGAAAGATTTGCAGATTGTTCCTGACCACAGTAAGAATTAAATAATTTGGTTATACATGCACTCGAAGTCATCAGTCTTCACAGTTTTATAAATTAAAGAAAATTATGACCATACGGCAATTTACGAGTGATTTTACGACATATTGGACCCATTAAAGTGAAGCCTGCATGCATTGTTTAAATTTTACATCAATTCGGAAAGGGCGGAAACGCCGCTCGCACACAACATGCAGAAATGAGTATAAACGACCACAAGAAATGTTCCCGCGACAATAGCATATATAGTGCTATCAGCGTCTTGGTACAAATAAACCATCTGGGAAAGCTTGGAGCCGGTGATCAAAACGGCAAAAAGAATCAAAAGATCTAACTATATAGCTTTATTTACATTTGGCATTATTTCGACTGTCTTCTGGCAGAGCTTTACTCTTATTAGAAATTAACTTTCAATCTTTCATGCGCGCATGCGTTTCCCGCTCGCATAATTCAGTGGAAACCTCTGAGGAGGACATAGCTTGGGTAACCCCAAAATGATTTAATTCCAATATATACGTAATATTTGGGTCATTCTGAAACGAAAAGTAAAATTTCTTTTTATGAGTGAATGCCTTATGGTAACGAACCCAATGCAGAGATGCGAAAAAATCTTCTAACGTTTCCCCTCTTGGCATGCATCTTCATCTAAAAATCAACGGGATAACTAGCAGTTGAACACAGAAAAATGAATTGCCCTCATTTATAGCGACATCATTTAGGCTATCGGTCAACTTAAATCGTAATGGAGTATCCGCCCGTTTTAGCTTATCTAATGGCATGATATCCACCAACAATGACAGTGTTGACTAAGACAAGGCTTTCCATTATATTGCATAATCTCTCAGAATAATATTAAAAAATACACATACAAAAATGATAAATCTTTTATTTGAGTTTAGCGCCCGTATCTAAAAGCTCACTCACACTCAATGAGTGGAAGTTTAATCTGAGCTTCTCTCGAGTATCATTGCTGTTTTTGCATAGCTGGGGCCGGTTGTATAAAAAAGTGATTAAAGTTAATCATAGTTAAGTGGAAATGTCATCCAATAAGAAGCGCCTATTTGAGAGTTAATCACTATTTAACTACAAAATAGTGATTAAAAAAGTGATTAAGAGTTTTATACAACCGGCCCCAGGAGGGTTAATGTCGTACCTTAATATGTGACTACTCACCCTCCAGCTATTCCAAAACAGCATTGACACTCAAGAGAAGCTCAGATTGATCTTGTACTCATTGAGTGTGAGTGTGAGTGAGCTTTTAGAATACGGGCGTTCGATATGCATACTAAATCTGGAACGTAACTTGTACACATGTTTGACTTAAAGGAGCAGTGTCACCGTTTGCGCAACTTTTCTGCGCATAGTGAAATTTGATATCGTTGGGCCAACGTTTTCAAACTATTTCACTATCATATTTCACTATTCAAGATGGCGTCCTTGCAGGGAGCTGTGCGAGGAGGTCATCGTGAAAATGCAGGACGAAAAAGGAAATATGAAGGCGAAAATCGAAGAAAATCGTGGGGAGGTCAACACAAGAGGATCTATATTTATTGAATAACATTTTTGAAGCGTGGAAAAGCTCAAAAAGCGAGGCGGGATACGACAAATGTAGTCATAGCGACTTCGCCGCGCATCTGTTATCTTTAGAGTATAGAAGAAGGTACGGATAATGAAATTTGTATGTTTAAGTTTGATTCAATTTGTAAGACGTAATGAAATGTGTGCTGTTTAACTATTTTAGGTCGGAAATAAAGCATTCACAGCGACGAACGCAAAGTGAAGCAACCACCGAATGTGCTACAGAAATAACAGAACAAGCCATTCAAAATATTTATCAAGGTAATCCCTATGCGTCCACAAACATAAATAGCCCAAAATGATATACTATTACAGTAAACAAGCAATAGAATGCTATATCAATGTTGATGAATTGTCAAATGGGTAGTTCAATGAATGGATGTAATGCATTGAACATGGCCGATTACAATGGATTACAATTTCTTTAAGGCCA